TTTAGAACGGCATTTAAAAACCTATATAAAGACTCTTTCAAGACGGTCTATATATAAAACACATACTAGAATATGTGACACCGGCCAAGAATCCGCACGACCTGCAACATAAAAACTTGGAGAAGTTCAGAAGTTTGCAACAAAATTTCAGTCAGAATTAAGAGGACTAAATTGCGAAGATGCATTTTTGGCGCTGAATCTTACAGCTCTAGAGGAGAAAAACAGACGGAAACCGGAAACGAAAATGATTCAAAGGAATGTAAAGAAATACTGGTTCCATGCACGGGTGGTCAACACATCCACAAGGGCCGTGATGAGGATTCGAACCTATGCCCGAGAGCATCCCAGACGCTGCCTTAATCGACTGAGCTACGACATGGTCAAAAGGGTGGGTCATGGTCAACACGTGGGATGCTCTGTAAGATGAAGTTGTAGAAGCCACCTCCATCCACAACGTGAAGGCAACATATAACGACGAAGTCAACACCTTGGGAAATTGAAACTAAAAAAAGCATCAAAGACAAGACGATTAGCTAGGAGAGTCAGGATGAGCTGGACCTCACGTCCTCCTAGATGGTGTTAGGTGAACACTGTCAAGCTGACGCTGGTGGACGCTAGGCAGCCCCTGGCCAGGAGGACGCTAGGCAGCCCCTGGCCAGGAGGACGCTAGGCAGCCCCTGGCCAGGAGGACCCAAGGCAGCCCCTGGCCAGGAGGACGCTGGTGGACGCTAGGCAGCCCCTGGCCAGGACACAAGACAGTCCCTGGCCAGGAGGACCCAAGGCAGCCCCTGGCCAGGAGGACCCAAGGCAGCCCCTGGCCAGGAGGACCCAAGGCAGCCCCTGGCCAGGAGGACCCAAGGCAGCCCCTGGCCAGGAGGACCCAAGGCAGCCCCTGGCCAGGAGGACCCAAGGCAGCCCCTGGCCAGGAGGACCCAAGGCAGCCCCTGGCCAGGAGGACCCAAGGCAGCCCCTGGCCAGGAGGACCCAAGGCAGCCCCTGGCCAGGAGGACGCTGGTGGACGCTAGGCAGCCCCTAGCCAGGACACAAGACAGTCCCTGGCCACACACTTAAACACAAGTCTAAGGTCTTTACTGCGAGCCACAAATCACTAAAGTCTTGTCCCGCGGACGTCGTCAATAATGCTTTTTGGCCTTATTGTTTTATTATATTTTTCGGCGCTGTCTTTTATCTTGATTTAATCTTTGGTGGTTTTCTCCTTCCATTCTATTTTTTCCTTGCACTTGCCACTAAGAAGTTTGCTCCGACACTTAGTGGTTTAAATATTGGTTTTGGCCGGGGCATGTTAAGGCCTCGCTCGGGGCCACTTTCTCCCCCCCCCCCCGGTCACCGTCCACACCTGCTGCCCGCCCACCGTCACCACCCACACCTGCCCCCAGCCCACCTTCACCACCCACACCTGCTGCCCGCCCACCGTCACCACCCACACCTGCCCCCAGCCCACCAGGCAAGGTGTGGGCAGAGGAGGGAAGGTGTGGGCGCCACTGAGGACAAGAAGACCAATCGTCCTGAAGCAAGATCACAGTTTAAACAGTTATGAGGCTATTGCGTGCCTCGCCAAACATTATAATATTTTAACTGTCAATATTTAAATGCAAATGTTGACTAATGTTGAGACAGTAGTAGTCTTGCTTCCTTGCACAGCCACGAAAGACGATTGAAATCATCTTATGAATTGACTTTAATTCGTACTATGGACATAAAAAATTATGATAGTTTGTCTTCCAAGATAACAGAGTTAATGAAATTGTTAAAAGTTGATTATACATTAGTTCAGATCAATTTTTTTTTAAGTTTTGCATTTAATTATATAGTGCTGAAGTGAATGATTAGGCCTCGGTAACTTGTAACAAGATGTGTCGATATATTTCGTGCAACGTCACGTTGTTGAGTCCCATTATGCAGTGTTCACACTAATGGCAATTATTGCACATGTTGTCGTAGCAATGAGCGCTGCAGCGCTCTGATATATAGCCAGGGCTTTGTTCTAAAACAAAATTAATTAGATTTTGTATTTATATTAATTGCATTAAAAGGTCGAGAGTCACTTGTCTGAATTATTGAAAGTTCATCACTGGATGAACACTAATTGATACAAGTTTATCACTGGATGTACACTAATTTAGAGGAAAGGTCGTTATCGATGTTCCTATAAGTTCTTATAAGCAGACGATGAGTCACAATAACGTGGCTAAAGTATGTTGACCAGACCACACACTAGAAAGTGAAGGGACGACGACGTTTCGGTCCGTCCTGGACCATTCTCAAGTCGATGAGAATGAACTCATCGAGTTGAGAATGGTCCAGGACGGACCGAAACGTCGTCGTCCCTTCACTATATAGTGTGTAGTCTGGTCAACAAGTTCCTATAAGTTCCTATAATCTGACAAGTCACTTGAGGCATGATTATGATGGGTTGTTTAAAGACTACAGTACACTTTAGTCACACACACTACCACTCACCCGCCTTGTAGTGTAAGGTACTCTGTGGGTAGGTAAGTGCCCGGTACCTCAGCTTGTGCTGTGCTCACTCAGGCGCTCAATATTTGCATGCCAGACTGGTTCATTTTTCTTGATAAATTGCAAAAACTCAAATGGTCTTTTTACCTGTTCGTGCTTATACAGAACACTCAAGAAAAGCATAATATTCAGTTTGAGATTCTGAACATTACTTTCAATACTTTTTCAATGTTATGAATCTCAAAGCTTAAGTATTAAAATGTTGCGCTAAATTGATTCGTGTATAATATGTAGAGTCTCGGACATGTTTCCAGGGAAAATATAGTCAGTAATGAAGAAAGTCACAAGGGCCGTGATGAGGGTTCGAACCTTACGAACCCGGGATGATCCCAGACGCTGCCTTACTCGACTAGGCCACGATATAATTACCGGGTGTAAATGAATTGAATTATTTATGGATGAAATAATGAATTATTGAATTAATTCAATGAAATTAATTATTTATGGATGACAGAGAACATAGAGTTGTTAAGGATTGAACTCACTGTCCCTTGAATACTGCTGCTGGTGGGGGGGGGGGGTTCTTATTGTTCCAACTATTTAATACAACCCATAGCGTTAATTTGGCCTATTCTCTCATAGACAAAAACAGTGAGATACCCAGGATGGTGAGCACTCACTGTCTACTGCATCTTGGCTTTGTAATTGTTTACGAGAAAACTTTAAGAGGATGTAAGGCACGACAGTCAAGTAGAGAGCTTATACAGACCCTCTGAACAATACAAGAATATTTTATGTTCATACTAAATCTATTACCAACAATAATTTTGCTTAGCTTTTGTGGGCAAGATTTCCACCAGTGGCCTCGATTATGAGATGTATTAATAAGACTCGTCTGTCTCCACACTCATCTCATTCATGGTAATCAGCTGGAGAAGTCTTGTTTTATCAAGAGATAATGTAACCTCGTTCTACTGTTCTCCTTTTAAATGCAGAGCTTCTGGCCTAATTTGTCTGCCATAATATCATCAGTGTAAGGCAGACTCTTAACTCTCTGCCAGACTAACTTAACTCTCGGACTTTTAACAGACTCTCTCACTAACCCCTTACAGCAGGACTCATAACAAAGGAGAAAAAACCAAATCACCCAATCACCAAAGGTCATTGGCTCGCCAGGAAACAAAAAATCAGCAGACAAGCTGCAGACAAAAATTACCTCAAAAATATTAATAATGGCTTAGCAATACCTATTCTCAGACCAAAAAAAAAATAAAAAAAAATTATATAATCATAGAATAAGGTGAAGACATTAATCAAATATTGGCGGTCAATGTTTGAGTGGAGAGGAATCATTAGCGGCTTGGCTTGGCCTTGGGGTCGTGGTTCGAGGTGGCCCCTCTCCGCCTCGCCTCACTCCCGCCATTTTCTCTAACCAGTTTTTTTTATCTGAATATCTGACATGCAATATACATTAAGACGACGAACCTTTTTTTTGGGTTGCTTTATGAGAGAACATAGAAATATATATATAAATAATAATTTAGCTTCCATCGCTTCCAAAATATGACTAATGGGAAGGGATAGGGAGGGATATTAATTGTCGTGTGTATTGACCCTGACATACAGAATAGGAATCAATAATTATCGCTATTCTGTTAGCAAGAAACCCGTGTTCTCTGAACTATTGATCTAAATGACTAATTTAATCATATTTCGTACGCAGCCATCACAGGGACATGTTTAAGTCTTTGTGACAGCAAAGTTACGCTTGAAACCTTACAGCATTTCATGAGTTAATTTCTTGTTTCGTTTTTGCAGATCTTGAATAGCTGAGTCGCACACACCGGCAGGTGTTTGGCGCGGGTGTTTGGCGCGGGTGTTTGGCGCGGGTGTGAATTAAAACCACATCTCGAAGATTTACATAAAAATGAGCATAGAAAAATTTGACTTTAATACTTTGTGGAGCAATAATCTCAGCGCCTCGCGTCGCTAACCATTGAATTATTCACATTTCTGGTGATCTGCCAACGAGAGAAATTGACTCGTTTGTCCAAATGAATAAATATATCCAAGTGAATCGATTTGTCCAAGTGATTTAATTTGTCCAAGTGATTTAATTTGTCCAAGTGATTTAATTTGTCCAAGTGATTTAATTTGTCCAAGTGATTTAATTTGTCCAAGTGATTTAATTTGTCCAAGTGATTTAATTTGTCCAAGTGATTTAATTTGTCCAAGTGATTTAATTTGTCCAAGTGATTTAATTTGTCCAAGTGATTTAATTTGTCCAAGTGATTTAATTTGTCCAAGTGATTTAATTTGTCCAAGTGATTTAATTTGTCCAAGTGATTTAATTTGTCCAAGTGATTTAATTTGTCCAAGTGATTTAATTTGTCCAAGTGATTTAATTTGTCCAAGTGATTTAATTTGTCCAGGTGATTTAATTTGTCCAAGTGATTTAATTTGTCCAAGTGATTTAATTTGTCCAAGTGATTTAATTTGTCCAGGTGATTTAATTTGTCCAGGTGATTCGTTTCTCCTTCTCTTACTCCATTGAGTAATAATGTCAAGAACAAGATGAGTAATAAAGGTTTGATCAATAATGTGACGATTAAAAATAGTGAGAAAATCGATCAATACTGTGGATGAATTTACTAAGTATGATCTATAAACAAAAAATTATTTTGTGTAAACAATCGTACAGACTTAAGTGTGTTGCCCAAAGTGTTAAGTGTAGCGAGTGTGTGATTGGTCAGTGGGGTGAGCACTGTGATGTGGTGACGTCACCACACCCCAGCCCGTGATTGGTGGTCCTCACGAGCATCAGATGCGCCGCCTCATACGTCACTACCCTCAAAAGGCGGTGATTGGCGAGCATGACGGTCATCATCTGCGTCATCTATTACGTCACTACCCACAAAAGGCGCTGATTGGTGAGCATGACGATCATCATCCGCGTCATCACTTACGTCATTGTGCTCTCAACGCCGTGAATGGTGAACATGACGAGGATTTATCATTACGTCATTCCTTACGTCATCATATTGGCCACCATCAACTCCCACACACACATCAGGTAAGCTCCGGGGCTCCGGCTGCTGGCTTTCCTTATTTATTCCCCCTCAGTATCTTGTACGTTGTGATCATATGCCCCTCTGTTCCTTCTGTCCTCTAGGGTAGTGAGATTTAGCTCCATTAGCCTATGTTCGCAGCTTATTCCTCTTAGCTCAATCTTGTTGCAAACCATTAAACCAGGGTCCATTAAATTTTGGATTTATGCTACACAAGGTGCGGATTCCATGCCGGTGCTGCATATTATATTATTGATCCAACAAATGTTGTGTAGCTTGCCTTGAAGGAGTCCTGATTTAGGTTCCTAAACGATGTTCTTATATTTGTCAGCGTCCCATATGCCGCCGATGTTATCCTGTTTATGTGTGTCTCCGGTGTTAGTGTTGGACTCATAGCCACTCCCAGATCTTTCTGATTTCTGTAGCTGTCTTCCCCTTATGGTGTAGATGGCTTCTGGTCTCCTCCCTTCCTGTCCCATCTTCATTACCTTACACTTGTTGGGACTAAATTCCCCCGACCATTTGTCTGACCACTTCTGGAGTTTGTCAAGTTCCTCCTGTAACTCCCTGCAGTCCTCCTCTATCTTCACGTTCCTCATCAGCTTCGCATCAGCAAATATCGACATGTCTGAGCTCATTCCCTGGGGTAAGGTCGTTCACATCAATTAGGTACAGCATCGGTCCCAGGAAAGAGCCTTGTGGGACTCCACACTCATTACATTCCTCGAGCTTGTGACTGTCTTCTCTGTCTGTGACTCTCTGCTTTCTGTCCTTCAGGTACTCCCTTACCCAGTCGCCCCAGCCTGGCTGGGGGAACAGTGTCCAGTGGTTTTTGATAGTCTAGAAAAAATACAGTCTAACTAGGTATCATTTTCTTGTGTTATTTTAGTAAACTGGTTATAAAACTCAATCTAGTTTGTCAGACACGAATTTCCATTTCTAAATGTTGGGGATTTTTTGTGACGTAGTCAGTCTTGACGAGACGCGCCATCACTCTCCACCTGGTTCATTTCTGCTGCACTTTACAAGGCATGTGGTGGTGGTGGTGGGTGGCAGGGTGTGTGGTGGTGGTGGGTGGTAGGGTGTGTGTGGTGGTGGGTGGTAGGGTGTGTGTGGTGGTGGGTGGTAGGGTGTGTGTGGTGATGGGTGGTAGGGTGTGTGTGGTGGTGGGTGGTAGGGTGTGTGTGGTGGTGGGTGGTAGGGTGTGTGTGGTGGTGGGTGGTAGGGTGTGTGTGGTGGTGGGTGGTAGGGTGTGTGTGGTGATGGGTGGTAGGGTGTGTGTGGTGGTGGGTGGTAGGGTGTGTGTGGTGGTGGGTGGTAGGGTGTGTGTGGTGGTGGGTGGTAGGGTGTGTGTGGTGGTGGGTGGTAGGGTGTGTGTGGTGGTGGGTGGTAGGGTGTGTGTGGTGGTGGGTGGTAGGGTGTGTGTGGTGGTGGGTGGTAGGGTGTGTGTGGTGGTGGGTGGTAGGGTGTGTGTGGTGGTGGGTGGTAGGGTGTGTGTGGTGGTGGGTGGTAGGGTGTGTGTGGTGGTGGGTGGTAGGGTGTGTGTGGTGGTGGGTGGTAGGGTGTGTGTGGTGGTGGGTGGTAGGGTGTGTGTGGTGGTAGGGTGTGTGTGGTGGTGGGTGACAATCCTCCCCCCTCCCACCTGTCCACAGGTCCAAGGGGCCTGAGTAATGCAGGCGGGAGTACAATCTTATCCTTGACAATAAATAAGACTAAGATGATATCCCGCTGACACTGTCAGAGACTTTTCATGTTCATCTTCCTTCAACCTGTGTCTCGCTCTACTAATCTCTCTCTCTCTCTCTCTCTCTCTCTCTCTCTCTCTCTCTGTATATATATATATATATATATATATATATATATATATATATATATATATATATATGTGTCGTACCTAGTAGCCAGAACGCACTTCTCGGCCTACTATGGAAGGCCCGATTTGCCTAATAGACCGAGTGATTTTCTTTATTTTCAACAAATTGCTTCCAATTGGTCCATTTGAATTATTATTATTATTATATTAAGAATATAAATTATTGACAAAGTTATGTTAGATTAGGTTAGGCTAAGATTAGGTAGAGTTGGTTAGGTTACGACATATATCTACCTTAGTTTTAACTCAAATTAAAAAATAATGAACTCATACATAATAAAATGGATAGCTTTATCATTTCGTAAGAAGAAAATAGAAAAATATATAAATTCAGGAAAACTTGGCTTATTAGGCAAATCGGCCCTTGCATAGTAGGCCGAGTACTTTATTCTGGTTACTAGATACAACATATATATATATATATATATATATATATATATATATATATATATATATATATATATATATATATATATATATATATATATATATATATTACAAATGTGGCCTTAACACATACACAACACAACCAAAACAACCAATGTAAAACACGACAATGGTGAAACATTGATAAATGTCACAGACGGGTTCGATCATTGTTGCAAGTCAAACACTTCTTCGAATTCCTCCGAAGCTGGACTCGTGCCCAAGACGCAACAGGCATTTCCCCTCTGAATCGCAACACTGACGCGCTGGAACAAGAAACTTTTTGCTCTCTGATCTTTTGTAGCGCCAATCAATTTGTTCCCAAATTTCTTTAAAAATGACAGTGTCAGACCACGGAGGAAGAATTGAAACAGGAATTACCTTAAGTACTTTCGTATGTTACATCTTCAGAAGGAAGATATATATATATATATATATATATATATATATATATATATATATATATATATATATATATATATATATATATATATAATATATTGCGTGTCAACCAATTTATATAAATAAAAATGTAAATGTTCGTTTGTTCAAAATCGCTAGTCTCTGAAAGTTCTTCACCGATTGCTTTGAAATTTTGACACAACGTTCCATTCGCATACGAGCGGGTTTGTATATACATACTATATAGATGTCACGTCTGTGATGGGTAAAAACATTTTTTTTTTTACTGTGTTTTTCGTGTGTTTTTCATGTAAGGGAAATCATCGAAACCTCTTTAAAGATTGCTTTAAAATTTTGACACAACGTTGCATTCGAATAGGCGCGTGTTTTTATATACCTACTATATACATGCCTTATCTGTGACAGGAAAAACATGTTTTTTTGAAAAACAGCGCCATCTGTTGCACGTAAGAGCAACACACGCTGCACTAAATATGTTACCATTCCATTTCAATGTTTTCGATTGCATTGATAAATGGAATTTTCATAGATTTTGATTTATTTTCATTTTGATTAAATTATTTTGTGTGACATTGCATTGGAATTGAGCTGTGTTGTTTACCATACTGTTCATTTCGTGAGTATAGTTTTATTTATTTTTTTTATTATTTTTTTATTTTTTTAACTGTTCTTATTTTTCAGTGATGGGAACATAGAACATTTGATGTTCCCAATTTTCTGATGGGAACATCAGATAATTTAGGAATGCATCGGACGAGGGAGTGGGGAATGGTGGGGAGGACGAGGGGACGGTTGCTGTGGCTCAGCAACGCACATGCACTGCTGAGCCATAGCAACACAGCTACAGCTAGTTATATATATAAATGCAAGCGGCTTCTACAACCTGCTTGTTTAGTTCATTCTATTTTCGAACGATTGTTACGCTTAACTAACAAAAAAGTGTTGATAGCACCTGTTTCACAAGCTTCCGTCCATTTCCTCTTGTCTGTCGGTATTTATTGAACACTGTCTATTTTCCGCTCTATTAATCCTTCAAGGTATTTTAATGTCTCACTTTACAACCTACGCCATCCCACACACTTCGGGGCTATGTTCTGTTCCTTTTTAACCTTGGCTATGTGCATTTTGAGGCAGGGGTTCTAGGGCGTGTCTGCGGACTTTGAGAGTAAATGTCACGTTATTTATAAGAACATAAGAATGAAAGTAACTGCAGAAAGCCTTTTGCCCATACTATGCAGCTCCTGTTTATTTCCACCCAATCTCACATATATATATATATATATATATATATATATATATATATATATATATATATATATATATATATATATATAACGTACGCTGGAAACAATCAAGGGATCCTGCTTGATTTGTTGCTAAATACTGTTGTGATGTTGACCAGACGTAGAGCATGCTGCTGGTATGCTGTTTACACGTGCCTCTGGAGCTAGAGTTGTGTTATATCCACTCTTGTCCCTCTGTGTGTGGGGGGTTACAGAGAGACATAGAGCCTCGCTGCTCTACACCGTCCTCCCCTCTCCCTCCTCCTCACAGCGGCGCCCATCTCCATCACTTTGCGCCTTCTGTCTTGAATTTTAGTTTCAACTGAAATTTTTTTCAGTAAAAGCAAAAGATCAGATGTAATATAAACAAGAAGCAATGATTTCAAGGTCAACTGGCCACAATGTAGCACTAAAAACATTAGATGCTTTGTCACCAATAGGGTTATTAACCCATGGAACCGCCTACCCGCCCATGCCGTATATGACAAAACTCTTGTTAACTTTTAAAGTACAGCTAGAAAAGATCGTCAAGGCAAATCGGGGAGGGGGACCTTCGACAAGCCGCCGGCTTCCTGTCCTTTCGAGGCCAATAGGGTTAGTGGCTCTCAGGTAAAGTCAGGAAATCCAACTGTTATTTCTCGGACCAACTCTGCAGGTGTGTACTCACCTATTTGTGCTTGCAGTGGTTGAGTTTTGGCTCTTTGGTCCCGCCTCTCAACTGTCAATCAACTGGTGTACAGGTTCTTGAGCCTACTGGGCTCTATCATATCTACATTTGAAGCACAACTAGGTAAATACAGGTGTGTGTGTGTGTGTGTGTGTGTGTGTGTGTGTGTGTGTGTGTGTGTGTGTGTGTGTGTGAGTGTGTGCGCGCGAGCGATTACGGATAACTTCAAAGTAAATTACAATTGGAGAGTTTCCCGGGTTGCCAGAAGTGACAACAGCGTCAGAGCCACCTTTCATCATGTGGGTGATTTACACCACAACGCTCAAGCAATTT